GCGGTACCAGTATTTCTCAGTGTGACTGGTCTTTATGACGTAGAGTATAGGATCGTGGTGGCTTGTCGTAATGGATGTATATACACATTGAAAAGGTCAGTGTATCACAATTAAATTTTTATAAATCAAATAGATGTACAGAATTTATCTGGTTAATGTCAAATTAAGCTTGTCTCAAAATCAAAATTAAATTTTCAGAGGTACAACTGACCCGACAAAGAACTGTATTGAGTTGAATTCTCAGCCTGTAGGTCTGGAGAGAATCAACAAAACAATTTATGTCGGAACGATGGATGAATCTCTTCACTGCTACACATCTAAGGTAAAAGCACTATATACTGTTGGAAATTGTTATATTCAGCTCAGTGAGATTGAGAGAAAAACTTCAAGATAGCTGAGAATTCAAGATATTTAGGTTAAAATACTTTTAAAAAGAATAAGCTAAGGGGTTAGGACTTCAAAATCAAGCTTACAAAAAAAAAAACTTAAAGAGATATTCAAGGTTTTGAGATATATTTGAAAATACATTGTATAAACTGCAACAATGAAATTGTTTATCTCTTCTTAGAACGACCCTTTTAAAATTCTATATTTAGGGTAAGAAGTTGTGGACGGTAAAGTTACCGGGGAGTATGACGACTATGGAGGTGATAGACTACAAGAGTAAGGGCTTTAAGGCGGTGATAGTGGCCCTCAATAACTGTCAGGTCCACATCTACAAGGAGAAGTACCTCGTCAATGTCATCAAGACGGACGACGTCGTCACCGGGCTCAAGTTTGGACAGTTTGGGCGGGAGGAGGGAACTCTCATAATGACCCTGAAAGGTTGGTAGCTATTGAGTATGGAAGCTGTGTTTGTAATACTGTAGATTCCTAAATATATGTGTGGAATTAATTATCGCGTATTTTCACAAGAAGCACCAGACGCAAAATAAAATTACTCGCCTTTATCTTTATGGTGCTGAAATCTATGTAAAATCTCTTGATCAACTGATCATTTGGGAATTATTTTTCTCACGATTTCCCATTGAAGAGCCCATTCACGATAATAACTTTTCACGAAAAATAAGGAATCTACAGTAGCAAGTGCAATAAATTGGGCAAAAAGCTACTTGACATTCAAGTTTTCATGGCAATAACAGAAAAATTTCACATTGAAAAAAAATAATTCAACATGCTTTTTATCAAAATTAATTTAGAGTAAATCAAATTATTAAAAATGCCCTTAAATGTTAGACTCAATTATGAAAATGTAACTAACCTAGTCTAAATTGGGCTATAGATTGAAGTTAAAATGTACAGGTTTTTGATGATATCAAGTAATAAATACAACTGCATGATCCTTAAAGTACACCATTTAACGTTACTTTTATATTAATAGAATATAGAATTTTTCTTTAAATTGGGCTTCATGCTAGCTTTGTTGAATGTTAACTCTCCTTGAAAGACTTTGAATTTTTTTTTTTTTTCTGTTAGTAAAATTATATCATGATTTTCTTGTGCAAGACTCTGTTCCTTTTCCTCTATAGGTGGAGGACTGATGATTAAGATCCTGAAGAGAAATGCCACGTTTGAGGAGAAGGATTTGTCTGGGGGTCCCCCCGCCGCTCAGAACTCTCGCCTCAACGTCCCAAAGAAAACCAAGCTGTTTGTGGACCAGACCATGAGGGAAAGAGAGAGCGCAGTCAGTATGTATCACTCAGAAAAAAAGGCTATTATATTTCACAAGTTTATTCCTTATGACAAGACTTTATGGTACCAACATTTTTGACCTCATGACCTTGGAGTTTGATCTACTGTTATAAAACTTAAGCCTTGACTACAACTTAACAACAGTTAGTGCTAACATTTTCATTTCATCATAGCAAGACCTTTATTTGAGTACATTTATGACCTCTTGATATTGACCTTAGACGTATTTAAAAAAAATGGGAACTTTCTTTGGGTACCAGTATTTTTGACCCCATATTCCTGGAGTTTGACATACTTTTCATAAAGCTGACATATAGGGCATAAGTGTTACAAAAACCCTTCAAAGTTTTGCTTCCTGTCATCAGTGAAGATACTTCACATTTTTTGCCAAGTGTTTCACATGTGCAAAAGATATTGAGATTGCAAGTAACAGAAAGTCTTCTTGCACTAAAAACACATTAAGCCTCTTTCCTCTGCAATAAAATGACCAATTTTACAAATACTCTAGATGTACTTTTTTCCATGGGGTCATAATTTTGTCGAATCTCATTTTCTGTTTAATCCGCGGTTGAAAATTACACGGATTTCTCAGACTGTCACTATGTTCCTTGCATTTATATTAAGTAAGCTTGGACAAATTTCCACGAAAAATTTGTGACCGCGTACAAAGCGTAAATTAATACCAAGTGGAAAAAAGAGCTTCTACAGTAATACCAGTATGTATTGAAAACGGGGAAAAAAACTTTTTGTTGTATTATCTCTCACTAAATTGATTTTATCATCCTCAAAGATTTTGCCTTGATCTTCCTTGGCCTCAAATTTAAAGCATTTGTTTATTTAGGATTACATGTTGGAATACAATAAGGGGGTCAGAAGGGCTTGAAAACTTAGCTACTATATGTTTGTGCCTCCTTAAAAATGATGATCTTTTTTAGCTCACCTGAGCCGAAGGCTCAAGTGAGCTTTTCTGATCACATTTTGTCCGGTGTCCGTCTGTCCGTCTGTCTGTCCGTCTGTCCGTCTGTCTGTCTGTCTGTAAACTTTTCACATTTTCGACTTCTTCTCAAGAACCACTGGGCCAATTTCAACCAAACTTGCCACAAAGCATCCTTGGGTGAAGGGGATTCAAGTTTGTTCAAATGAAGGGCCACGCCCTCATTCAAGGGGAGATAATTGGCAATTAATGAAAATTTGGTGGCATGTTTTAAAAATCTTCTTCTCAAGAACTGCTGGGCCAGGAATAATGAAACTTATGGGGAATCATCCTCAGGTAGTGTAGATTCAAGTTTGTTCAAATCATGACCCCCAGGGGTAGGGCGGGGCCAAAATGGCCGACCAAAGTTTTGCATAGAAATATATAGGAAAATTCTTTAAAAATCTTCTTCTCAAGAATGACCAAGCCATAATTCATCATATTTATATGGAAGCATCCTCAGGTAGTGTAGATTCAAGTTTGTTCAAATCATGACCCCCAGGGGTAGGGCGGGGCCAAAATGGCCGACCAAAGTTTTGCATAGAAATATATAGGAAAATTCTTTAAAAATCTTCTTCTCAAGAATGACCAAGCCATAATTCATCATATTTATATGGAAGCATCCTCAGGTAGTGTAGATTCAAGTTTGTTCAAATCATGACCCCTGGAGGTAGGGCGGGGCCAAAATGGCCGACCAAAGTTTTACATAGAAATATATAGGAAATTCTTTAAAAATCTTCTTCTCAAGAATGACAAAGCCATAATTCATCATATTTATATGGAAGCATCCTCAGGTAGTGTAGATTCAAGTTTGTTCAAATCATGACCCCCGGGGGTAGGGCGGGGCCAAAATGGCCGACCAAAGTTTTGCATAGAAATATATAGGAAAATTCTTTAAAAATCTTCTTCTCAAGAATGACAAAGCCATAATTCATCATATTTATATGGAAGCATCCTCAGGTAGTGTAGATTCAAGTTTGTACAAATCATGAACTCCGGGGGTAGGGCGGGGCCAAAATGGCCGACCAAAGTTTTACATAGAAATATATAGGAAAATTCTTTAAAAATCTTCTTCTCAATAATGACCAAGCCATAATTCATCATATTTATATGGAAGCATTCTCAGGTAGTGTAGATTCAAGTTTGTTCAAATCATGACCCCTGGGGGTAGGGCGGGGCCAAAATGGCCGACCAAAGTTTTACATACAAATATATAGGAAAATTCTTTAAAAATCTTCTACTCAAGAATAACCAAGCCATAATTCAACATATTTATATGGAAGCATCTTCAGGTAGTGTAGATTCAAGTTTGTTCAAATCATGACCCCTGGGGGTAGGGCGGGGCCAACATGGCCGACCAAAGTTTTGCATAGAAATATATAGGAAAATTCTTGAAAAATCTTCTTCTCAAGAATGACAAAGCCATAATTCATAATATTTATATGGAAACATGCTCAGGTAGTGTAGATTCAAGTTTGTTCAAATCATGACCCCCAGGGGTAGGGCGGGTCCAAAATAGCCGACCAAAGTTTTACATAGAAATATATCGGAAATTTTTTTAAAAATCTTCTTCTCAAGAATGACAAAGCCATAATTCATCATATTTATATGGAAGCATCCTCAGGTAGTGTAGTTTCAAGTTTGTTCAAATCATGACCCCCGGGGGTAGGGCGGGGCCAAAATGGCCGACCAAAGTTTTACATAGAAATATATAAGAAAATTCTTTAAAAATCACCTTCACAAAGATAGAAAATCCATGGTTGTTCATGGAACTACTTTTGGATTTTACCTTTTCAATAATAAACCAATTTATTCTTTTACTAGCCACAGTGCTCAGGTGAGCGGTGTGGCCCATGGGCCTCTTGTTTTTTTTAAGCTTGATAAGAAATTTTTGGTAGTTCATAGTCCCCATAAACTGTAATAGCTTCCTATGGGCCTGGGAAGTAACTGTGAGATAAAATTCCTTGGTCCACCATAAAACATATTCTGTTGTTTCTTATATGTACAGAAATGTAAACATATAGTATTTTTTATTCGTATCAATTTTTTTACAATTTAAAGTTTTTCTCTAATGTCAACATTGTCGATTATACAATGTGCACAAACATAAACACACAATTCATGTATGTCTTAAAATTTTTCATGGTCTATTTGAAAGTTTAGCCTCACTGTAAAATTTTATGTCCATAGGAATGATCAAACTGTTTCTAAGTTTTTCACTGCAGAAATTTAATTTTTTTCACTTGACCTCTGTTATATTCAGTAACAAACAGATTGTCATATGTGTCTGTACATAGTCCTATCGGATTATTAAGTCCACAGTCTATGTAACGGAGGAACTGTCCATCCTGGTCTATGATGTGGACACAGTCATTGTTATAATCAGCTGTAAGGATGTGACTCTGACTGTCTGTGGTGATTCCTAGTGGATAGAATGGTCTGTTCTTTGGAGCAGGAGTATGTCCGGTGTACCTGAATCTCAGTTTCCCGGCCTGATTGACCACCACTACAGCATTAGCTCCACTATCAGACACACAGATATCCAGGTTCCTGTTCTCAGTTATGTAATCAGAATCAGATGAATAGAGAGATTTACGTTTATCATCAAACTGAATAGTTTGTTTCTCTGTGGAGCCAGAGTAACGGACAACTTTTGTTTGTTTTTTATCATCACTGTACATGATAACCAAGAGGTCTCCAGAGGAGGTACTACAGACACCGTCAGGTATCCAGTTCTGTAGTCTGATCACCTCCTCTATTTTCTCATTCTTCACAATTTTCACAGTTCTATCACTGTACTCAATATAAACTAGATCTCCACTGTTTGTCACTGCTATGTTATATGGTATCTTCCCTGACTTGGTTGTGATTGACTTGAGTAGTGATGCCTGATTGATTCTGTAGAGTTTCATGGTGCTGTCATATCCACTTGTCCAGATTTCTTCATCACTCAGACAGGCCACATTGGTAAGGTCTCCATACCCAGTTTTTATGGTGGTTACAGTCTCTGGTTCATCAATCAGCTGTTTGACTGGAGGAGAGGATCCAGCTTCTGGTGATTTCTGTGTTGTCTTCATGCTGTAACCATGTTTTTGTGATGTAAGGGAGCTCTGTGATAAAGTTCCAAACAGTTTGGCAAGTTCTTCTCCTTGAATCCTGCCTTGTGTGAATTTTGGCAAACATGGCACAATTTTTTCTGGGAGATTGTTATATCTTCTTATTTGAACAGATGCAAATTTAAAAATGTCTGAAATTTCGTTGGAGTCTATAGCAATATTAAATGAATGGATTTCATCCTTGATATCAGACATTGTTTTGTTTATTTTATCCAGATGTTTCCATAGAGTTTGTAGCTGTGTGTTTTTCATCTCATCAACTTCAGCTTTAAGTTTCTTGACAAGTTTGTCAATTTCTCTGTGCCAGTCCTCTCCATGTTTTGTTATGGCTGTTGAGAGATCTCCATATTCCTTTTCTAACTGACTCATTCTGTTTTGTACATCAGAGGCAATGTCCTGGTAGGTTGGATAAATCGTCCCATTTAATTCAGCCAGTTCCTTTGTGATCTTTTCTTTTTTCTTATCTAAAACTTGTAAAATTTTCAATAATTTATGACCTAGATGTTGATCAGAAGCAAGGCAGGTGGCACACACAGGAACGTCACATAGCTTACAGTACATTTCACATTGTTCTTTATCATGAGATATGCATACAGGGTAGAGGGGGGTAGTTTTTCTCAGAGTAAATTTAACAATTTCATGTTTTTTGGATTCATCAGATATCATGTGTTTTCCTACGCAAGCTGTACACAGGTTGATAAGACATGTATCACAATGCATCTGTACCACAGCGGTCTCACACAGGTCACATCGCATCACGTCCTGTGCACTGGTACGGGGGTCCATGATTTAAGTAAACCTAGCATGAAAAAAGGCACTTGTTAAAACATTCTGAGATCACTTCAATAAAATAAACAAGGCCAAAAAAAATTACCACTCATCAATAATTTCTCAATTCTCAGACACCGCCACATCAGGTCAAAAACTGGCTGCATGGATCATTGAAAAGGGAAATAACTCAAATTTCTATTTTTTAGACATTTTTATAAGTAAACAGTATATTTCTTGCTAATTTATTTTATAAAATGCCTTCACTTTAAAATAAATGTTTGGCAGAACATTTTTAAAACTTGTATACATATTTATTTAATGAAAGAGAACAAAAGATAAGGTCATGTTGATATGATGATATCATCAATGTCGCCGGGCGCGTGGCAGTACAGTTTTCAGAACATCTTAGAGTCACGAAGTAAGAAATTGGCACTTACATCGCGGGTTCAAATCCCACTGTGGGACATGGAGACCGGTCCTTTGGATGAGACAGTATAAACCAAGGTCCCTTGTTGCAAAAAAGATCCATCAATGCTCAATGGCCCTAAGTGCCAAGCATGCATTGGACAAAATTCGTAGCTCTCCAATCTCCATCGGCAAGTGGTGGCTCTCCATAAGAGTGAAAATTTCTTGAGCAGGGCATTAAACAACATTCCATCGTCGGAACCCACAGGTTTTCTCTCCGTTACACTGCATTTAAACGCAGTGTAACGGAGAGAAAACCCGTGGGTTCCGACAATGACAACATTCAATCAATCATCCAATCTTATTGTGTGAATCTCTGACAGTAAGAAAAAAGTGCAAAACCTACAACAAAAAAAGTTGCCAAACAAATTTGATAATCTCCATAAAAGAAACCAAATCAGGTTTTAGTGTTTTTTATTCTGAAAAGTAAATGTAACTTCTCTTTTTATATTATTACATGTATACAAATTCTACAGCCTTTGTTCTAGCCACAGTGAAGGCAGTCACATGATATGCTCCATAGCACTCTTCACATCATCTCAAAGATTTTCCAAGGTCCTACCCAGCATTTTTTTTCTCGAATTATATTTTCATAATAAGAATAATCCATGCATTCCAAAGTACTGAATCGCAAGTACTAGACAAGTCATATTTTTTTAAGCTTTAAATAATCCTTCTTTATTGGTATAGAGTCTTTAATTAGAACTCACATAAATATAATTTGTAGACTAGTACATAAAGTTACAATGTACAATCAGTATAATGTAAGAGCAAATTTAGTCCATGTTGTTTATAAAAAAAGATATCTTATTGTTATAAGCAAAAATTATCAAATGAATTCATCCATAAATGTTACCTGCAGGGTCTGTCTTGTCGGCCAAATATTTGTACGATCTCTGTATGCCAGGTAATCACATGACCCACATACGTGTTACCCACAAAATTTAATGGCGTCTGTCTTGTTGGCCAAATACCTGTACAATCTCTGTATGGGGATCACATGACCCACTTACTTGTGTTATATTTTACTTCCTGGTCTATGTGTACTGAAGATTTAAATTTATTTAGCACTCCTGATGAAGGCTGATTTCCTACGTGGCTGAATTCTTATTCATTGTTACTACTACTGTAGTATTAAGATAACTTTTTTTAAATACATATATTTCCATGCCATGGAATCGATGGATTCAGGGTGTATATTGTTTTTTTTCCTGTCCATCTGTTTGTCTGTCTGTTGTCAGTGTTAGGCTTTGCCATAACTTTTGAACCTTGAAAGAAAGAGACTTCATATTACTTAATTTATTTTGAACTCATTCTAGATTTTTAGGTTCTGTCGGTCAAAATGTCATAAAGCATTTAAAAACAGCTAGAGAAATCCACGAAAGGCCAAGTGGACAAAGGCTTTCAGAAAGGCTGCAGGGAAAGAGCTGGCTGTGGATCCATCGCTGGAATTCGAAAAACGCAGACATGTCCCCGTCAAATACAACAGAGAACTGTGGCAGACAACGTGTAAGCATGGCTGTTCAGTTGATATGAATATGTTTTGTTGATAATACAGATTAAAAAGTCATTCAATGTTTGAAATAAAATTCTTAACAATTACCTATAAGCTGTGTTTTGACTAAATTTTACAAGACAGTGTGTTTGATCTCAAGCTAATTAACATGTACATGTGAATAAAAATGATGTTACTGACTTCCCTCATATTAAATATTCCGAGGACATTTACAATTCATTTTAATGTACATTATTAGAGGAGATATACTATTGATGTGAAAACAATGAAATGAAATGTTCAATTTGAATTTTGTGGATATTTTCACTAATGTTTACAGATAGTATATGAGGTAATCAACTGAATCATAGTTTTGTGCTAAGCATTTTTTCCCCCAAAATTGTGTCCTTTGTCATTCTTTTTCTTGACTTAGATAATGTTGTTGGGTTTTCAGTCAAAGCAATGAAGAGAATAGAGGAGATTCGAGTAAAAAGACAAAACCAATTCATTCTAAACAGGTAGGTAACTGAAGAAATAAGGACCTTAGACAAATATATAATGCAATTAAGTCAATCACATTGACAATAAAATTTCTTTTTCAGATTAAATAAGGGCAAAGAACTAAGGAAAGAAGCAGACGTGAAGGAGGTTGAAACAAACATACACTTAATCAGAGCACCAGCAGGTTTGTTTTCTTTCCTTTACATATATTACAATGTAAAATCTTTAAAACTTGGTGAAAACTTTACGTGATGCTTTTATTAGAATCAAAAAGGTGTCTTCAACGTTATGTATTAATTTAAAAGAATTGAAATGATTACAAATTCAGACAATTGCTTTGAGAACAAAGCTGGTTTTTTATCATAGATACAAATTTTTGGGTCTTAAGCACAGCAAATTGCATTTGGTGTGTATGATACAGAATCTGTCAATTTGTCTACATATATGTGTCACAATCAAACATAAAAAAGCACCTCCTACTTCTACATATGTGTGCAGTGTCTACACTTAATATATTAATAATTATATTTTATGGACAACATAGAATTCAGTCAAATTAGACTTCAAAGGAATCTTAATGGACAAGGTAGATGATATTTGACTTTCTTCTAGAATGAAATTGATCCTAATACAGGTATATTTGAAATCTCAGCTCAGCCAGTGTCTAAAATTCTCAGCTTAGCCAGTACACAAATACAGGAGATACAGACAGCTATTTGATGGACTTTGATGTTCCAGATTTTAATTTTCCAACTGAAAATGACATTATAAACAAAGTGAGAGAGGTGTGCAGCAATTATCAGCAATGAGGATTTAGGATGAAATTTTGAAAGATTAAAAAAACTAAAAAATATACTTAAACAAGTTTGCATAAGAGTGGAAATAGGGGGGGGGGTATTGAATTTAACTGAATTGAGGCCATTTAAACAAAAAGAGACGGGGAAAGTAACAGGTGTTGAAGATTTTTCTGTAACTGACAATTTTATCTTTTGTTTGGATCGAAACAACGAGTAGATTCCTGTGTGGAATAAGTTTTAAAAATGATTGAGAAAACTTTATATTTTACATTCCTATGGAAATACCAGGTATTTCTGCAAAGTTCATAATTGGAAAAAAATCAGCATTTACTTTTTTGATAAGTTGAATTAAATTTATTTTTAGACTTTGGAGAAAAACACTGCTATCTTGTCACAACATAATCTTATTGATATCAAACCATAAGAATTTTAAAACAAAGCTCATTGATTTCTTATTTCTACAGCTCGAGCCAAGAAACTTGAGAAGAAGATGGTACAGGTGATACAGGAAGCAGATGATGAAGACATGGAAGAAGTTTAGGGATCCAAGGAAGGGGGATCTAACAGGAGTGGGGAGATCATTACTGTACACTGACATTCTATAGAATGACAAACTGTTATGTGACCTTGATTGTTTTATTCTTCATCAAAAATGGAGAAGTTTTCCTTTTTGTACTTATAACTGATGAAAGAACATTTTATAAATCATTGGAATTGATGGTTTAAAACAGACAAAAAGATGTTGTCTGTTACCCTTTTAAAGGTAGCAATATTTAATAAATTGAAAAGGATGTTTCAGAAGTTATTTTCATTTGATTTTTAATGGTATCAAATAACAAAAATTAAGTATTAGTTGTTGGGACAAAGTGGTGACAAGTGCAAAGCATGTGTCAGTCAGTCTCCTCCCCTTGTCCAATTAAATCAGGACACCAAAATAAATAAATATTAAATAACTTGCTTGTATCATGACGAAATCGTCTTATGACAGCCCTTGTAGCATGATGTTTTATGAGACCAGTAAAAAATAGTTATTCCTTGGTGACCATGTCTCTCCTTCCTGTCAGTGTTTTCTAATACCCACATTTGTGATGTTGCATTCCAGTTTATAAATTTTGAATCCGATACTTACAAGATTTAGGCTAATTTTTTTTTTCATATTTCAAAAAGTTCATAATATCTTGGACTCTGGAAGAAAATGAAACTATATTTTTGAAGAAATTAATGGAGAGGATTATGACATAGATTTGGACACAGACCCAAGGAATCCTATGAATTCAAAAGCTGGCAGCTTGAACAAAGGTGACCTGTTGGTTTCTGTATTTTGTCCATTTTGTCCTAATCATTTCAAATTAAACATTTTCAGCTTTTTCTTTTGAATTGCTGAACAAATGTCAAGCAAATTTGGCATAAAGTATAGCATGAGTTGGTAAAGGGGTCCCAAAATTTGTGCAATTTATGTTTTCTGCACCCTGGGGCCTCAAAAATGAAGTTAAACCATCACATCACATTAGTGTTTTGTTTAAAATTTTCTTCTTTATTTCAGAACAATCAGCAGTCAATTCGTTTGCATGATTGTTATAAGCATTGTACACTTTACCAAAATTATGGTATTCATGTCCCTATATATATGTACTAGTGTTAAGCAGGTAAATTAGATGCATGATTATGATAAGCAAGTTGCATACGTTTAACAAAACTTACCACTTTTTTGAACTCACCTAGGCCGAAGGCTCAAGTGAGCTTTTCTGATCACATTTTGTCGGTTGTCCATCCGTCTGTAAACTTTTCACATTTTCGACTTCATCTCAAGAACCACTGCGCCAATTTTAACCAAACTTGGTACAAAACATTCTTTGGGGAAGATCAGTTTAAATTGTAAAAATAAAAGGCCAAGTCCCCCTACAAGGGAAGAAAAAAAAGCCAAAATAAGATGGGGTCATTAAAAAATCTTCTTCTCAAGAACCACTGGACCAGGAAAGCTGAAACTTATATGGAAGCATCCTTCGGTAGTGTAGTTTTTAAATTGTTAAAATCATGACCCCCAAGGGTAAGGCGGAGCCAAAATGGGGAATCCAATTTTTATACCGAAATATATATGAAAAAATTCTTCTAAAACCACTACACCAGGAAAGCTGTAACTTATGTGAAATTCTTTGAAATATTTTCTTTTTCTATACATGTATATAGCAGATTTATTCAAAAATTTATGAGTACAGGGTCAGGTTTCAAACTTTAGGCTGGGGCTCTAAATGATTATAAGCAGTGAAAAATGCACATTTTTTTTTTACAAAACATCTTGATACTCTCTCCCCTGTATATTTAACAGATACACCAAGAACATGATTATGATGAGTAAGGGTATCTCTTCAAAGCTGTGAATTTTGTGGCTTTGGTGTCAAGGCTTCTGGCATTAAAGAAGAGTTTTAATGATCATACAGTAAAACTGTTCACATTCTAAGGAAATCTTCTCCTTGTATTAAACTAAATGCATGTTTATGGTAAGCTAATGTGCCTCTTCCACAATAGAGAGAACTAGGAAGACTTGTGTGAGAGGGAATAGCAATCGGTATTCTTATAGTCCTTGTGATTGTGACAAATAGGGACAGGTACTAACAAGTAAGTAGATGTACCTTAACATCTGTTACTGAGTAAAACAGATTAATTTTTATTGGATTCCTGATCATCTGTTTTCTCTTTTTTTTTGGGGGGGGGGGACCTTACATATTCTGGTAGAGCTGTGTCATATATTCTTTTCTACCTCTGTGGATCCTTTACAATGTTCTTTCATAATCAGGTAACCGTTTTATCCCATGGGCCTCTTGTTCAAAATTATAAGGCCAATTCTAAATATCCCTGACTCAAACCTACTTTTGGGAAAGGGGTTTGATAATTTGACTGCGCATGTATTGTTGAGGTTTTCTGTCAAATTTTTGTTTGAAACAAAATACTATTGAATATAAAGACATTCGGCTATGAAAACAAAGTGAACCAAACCCCAGGCTTTACAGAATAAGATTTTCGGAGATTTATTTAATTTTCCTTTCCTATTTGAAAAACTTTCAGGTAATCCATACAAATACTTTTTCCCAGGTTGATCCATCGTCTCAAGCCACGGTCCGGAGTCCGCTTATATAGCTCTCTCCTACTCCAGAATGGGAGAGGAGCGTGCATGTTGGCCGTGGTTTGCGACGATGAGGTTGATCAACCTCCCACTTTTAAAAACCATACTCCATCCGGTATCTTATTGACTTTTTTACTTTTATGTTTGTGTACAACGTACGTTATAATAACTCTTTTCCCCTTCAATCCCCTTTGAAAAATCCTTCACACACCCCATCCCCCTTTTTGAAAAAAAATATACATCCTCGCCTGATCCCTAACTAAAAAGTGTGTAAACATTTTCGCGTTGTTCCATTTTGTTTAATATTAACGCAAAATGTAGCTACGGACTAAAATGCAATAAACTAAAATTATTGGTGTGTGAATCACACAGACTTGCACGTAGGCATATTTTTCATGAAGCACTAGCGTGACAAGTCTGTGTGATTCACACACCAATAACTCAAACAAAATTTTTAAAAACATTCCTTAAATACATATTGTATCGTTATTACATTTAGCAATCTATGCACTTATTATAAACTTCCCTATAGCTTCTTTATGTACAGACCTTTTTTAACTGCAGTGTAATCGTCTACTTCGTAAGGGGACGACCCTTTCATTCTGAGGGGAGGGGGGGGGGGCTGGCAGATTTCGGAAATATATAATCTGTCCCTGAAAATTTTGAAAATAAATAATTTGTCCCCCACTACAGAAAAAAATAAATAATCTGACCTTGACTTATGATATTTAAATATTGTGAAAAATACCTTTTTTATTTACGTGTAATTTAATCTCAAAAGTCTTTGATTAAAAGAATAATGTTCTTTATTATGTATTAACAAACAATAAAGAAAGCATTCAGAAAGGCGGATTTTACGCGGGTTAATATACTCGTACCGCTCCATTCCTTAAAAGTAAAGGGACTCGGCCCCTTCGGGACCTCGGTCCATTACTTTTAAGGAATGGAGCGCTACTCGTACATTAAGTTATTAACCCTTACATACCTGACAGATAGATAACACAGGTGTGTCACATGACTTTAGAGCATATAGATAAACAGTACGGCCGCCATTACTGCATTCAGGTAATAATGAGAAATGATATTTATTCTGTATATTTGAAGTTTTGAACAAATTCTATAGATTTCCCAAAATGCCTTTGTCCTACAGATCCATGCAGTTAGTGACACCTATCACCATTTCATTCTCCTTGTTTGTTTCTTGGCTTAATTTTCACTTCAAAAAATATTAAAAATCTACATATCTAATTTTTCATTGTTTAGTATTGTCAGTAACAAGATCTAATGATGGACCCCCGTACCAGTGCCCAGGACGTGATGCGATGTGACCTGTGTGAGACCGCTGTGGTACAGATGCACTGTGATACATGTCTTGTCAACCTGTGTAAGGCCTGTGTTGGAGAACATATCTCAACAGACGAATCCAAGGATCACAAAGTCGTTAAATTTCAGTCCAGAAAATCTACCCCCCTCTACCCAGGATGTACATCACATACCAAACAACAATGTACAATGTACTGTAACCAATGTGACATTCCTGTTTGTACAAAGTGCATTGCATCTGGTCAACATTTAGGTCATGAGTTGTCAGAAATCATACAAATTGCGGAAGAAAAAAAGGACAAAATTATCAAAGAAGTAATTGAATTACGTGAGACAATTTACCCCACCTACCAGGACATTGCCTCTGATGTACAAAACAGAATGAGTCAGTTAGAAAAGGAATATGGAGATCTTTCAACAGCCATAACAAAACATGGAGAGGACTGGCACAGAGAAATTGACAAATTTGTCAAGAAACTTAAAGCTGAAGTTGATGAGATGAAAAACACACAGTTACAAACTCTACAGAAACATCTGGATGAAATAAACAAGACAATGTCTGACATCAAGGATGAAATTGATTCAACCGACATTGCAACAGGCACTAATGACTTGTCAAAACTATTTAGTGTCCCACATAGTCTAATTAATACATACAGAAATCTTCCACAAAAACTTGAACCAATCTTACCAAAATTCATTCCAGGAAAAATCCAAGAATTAAGTAAATTGTTTGGCGTCTTATCATCAAGTTCTTTAATATCAGATAAACATGGCTACAGGATGAAGACAACCCAGAAATCACCAGAAGCTGGATCCTCTCCTCCAGTCAAACAGCTGCTTGATGAACCAGAGACTGTCACCACCATAGCCATTGGGTATGGACAACCTCTCAATGTAGCCTGTCTGAGTGATGAAGAAATCTTGACAAGTGGACATAACAACACCATGAAACTCTTCAGCATCAATCAGGGATCACTACTCAAGTCAATCACAATCGAGTTGGGGAAGCACCCATCTGACATAACAGTGACAAAAAGTGGAGATCTAGTTTATACTGATCCTTATGATAGAACTGTGAACATTGTGAAGAATGAGAAGATAGAGGAGGTGATCAGACTACAGAACTGGATACCTCACGGTGTCTGTAGTACCTCCTCTGGTGACCTCCTGGTTATCATGGTCAGTAATGATAACAAACAAACAAAAATTGTCCGTTACTCTGGCTCCACAGAGAAACAAACCATTCAGTTCAATGATCAAGGTAGACCTCTCTATTCATCAAAAATTCCGGTATTTTTTATGTTAATATTCGATAAACATTGTTACATAACTGAGAACAGGAACCTGGATATCTGTGTGTCTGACTGGAGAGCTAATGCAGTAGTGGTGGTCTGTCAGGCCGGGAAACTGAGATTCAGGTACACTGGACATACTCCTACTCCAAAGAACCAACCATTCTATCCACGAGGAATCACCACAGACAGTCAGAGTCACATCCTTACAGCTGATGATAACAATGAGGTTGTCCACATCATAGACCAGGATGGACAGTTCCTCCGTTACATTGACTGTGGACTGAGTGAACCCTGGGGACTGTGTACAGATACAAATGACAATCTGTTGGTTGTTGAAAATGGAAACAGAAAAATGAAGAAAATCAAATATCTGAAGTGAAATACATCGCTGTGTAGCATATATTTATTAATTATAAATCATCAAATGCATGCAGTATCTCTGATGTTTTAACATACTGAAGAATGGAGCCTAAACTGCATATGTATATAAGACTATATTTACATTTCCAATGTCTTTGTCTGAGATAAAATTACCAATTGTAAATGTAATTGATTTCCTCATGAATGTTTTGGCGCGGTTCCAAAAAAAACACGTGCAGGGCGGGCCCAGCTAACAAAAAAACATTTTGAAAATGTTTTTAAAACATTTTCAAAATGTTGCGAAAACATTTTTAAAAAATGTTTTCATCACGTGATTTTGTATGGTTTTTTTAAACGTGAAATATTTATATTTTAAAAGAAATAAAAACAAATTATATTTAATTTTTGAATCTTTAATACAAACCCATATCCAATATTTTAATCACATTTAAATTCCATTCTCGGTACAAGTTTTAATCTATTTTATTTCAAGTCACAGGTTGAAAACGGCGTCTAATCCATTCACTGAATTTTAAAAGAACAGAATCACAGAAATCCTATGTTCACTGTAAACATGGTAAAGGTAGAACAGAGCGGCGGATCTATAAGACTTAGTTAGAATCACATACACTGAAAAGGCTGATAAGATACTGCCCCTAGGAGAGAATAGCACAATCTGTAAAGATAAGGAAAATTGTGTTTGTATCAGCATTCTACATCTGATGTATCTTAAGATAATCAATGAAAATATACAAAAAATATTTTAAATAATTATATAAAATTAAAGTTCTTTCCTCATTTGCATCGAAAAAAGCAGAAAAATAATTACTATGACAATGTTATTGAAGAGTAATAGTATTTACGTACACCTTTGCCTTCACCAAAGGCGGGTCTTTTGGATGTGGGAATTTAAAAACACGGATGATGCAATCAACACCATGCTGTAAAGATATTTAATTTTTAAATCAACATATTCATGATATTGTTTGATGAATTTAAAACATTTAACAAAGACAACGAATACTTGAATCAAGGATATAATTGTGTTGCCTTAAGAATGAAATATACATACATTTGTACTAAGTTATTGATCATGCACTGGTTGTATAAAAGTCATTTTTAAATGATCTTTTAAAGTCTATGATAAAGGAATAACTCTTACCATTCAAAGTCAATAAATCCCGAGATTATTACTGTGGTTTTATGGTGCAAAGTCTTCTCATTCAAATCGGCACGGAGTAAGCGCGCACATCATGTTTACCAGAATTCAAAATTTGGCCTAGATAAGCAGCAAACCACTATACTCTGTAACGCGCTGCCCAGCAGGAGAATTGCATAAGAGGTTATCATGACACCGAAACTGACCAGTGTGCCAATCCTTATCTAACGCCTCAGAGTAACATTCTGGGAGTGGATCAAAGATTTGATGAAGAACATTTTTTTTTTGAAAAAGACATTAAGAGTTTTATTTAATGCTTATGATTTTATAAATTTATTTATATTTTTTAAATTTTTTGTTTGCATATCTTTTCATTCATTGGTTTTTTTTTATTTGTTTAATCAAAGGACTTTATATAAATTATGTCTGTTTTATCAAGAAGCCAAAACAAGAAATCATAATTATAAAATACCGGAAAAAAATCTTTCAATTAAAAATAACTACAATTCCTCATTTTAACACTATTCTTTCTATATATTTTTTTCTTCATAAACTAAATTTTAGAAAAATCGCAATAATATATTATTTGAATGTTTTAATTAAGAACATTTTGAAAATAACAGCAGCAATGAAAAATGAAGTCTTTAAAAAAAGAAAACACATTAAATTGAATGTTCTTAAATCATTCTCACAACATACTCTTAAAGTTACTAATCGAATTAAAATGTGCTGCAATTACATAAATGTTTCAGAAACACTTTGAAAATGTTTCCAAAAAATGTCAAAACTATAATTAGAATATTTCAATTGTAGTAAAAATAATTATTTTAGTAAATGTTTTAAATGCACATTTTCACTGCCTAGGCTGAAAAATATCCGGAATTGAATGTTTTTAACTAACAGCGATATTAAGAATGTTTTAAAAATATTTTTAAAATGATTCTTTCAAATGTTTTAGAAACGTATATGGAATGTTTCCGATTTACAGAAAAAGAATGTTTCATTTCATGTTTTAAAAACGTTTCTAAAACGTTTTATAAGATCTTCGATATTTGGAAGCTATAAAAACCCTTAAATGAATTAAGAATGTTTCAAAAACATTTTGACAACGTTCCTTCCAAATGTTTCAGAGACGTATTAATACAATGTTTCAGATTTATGGAAAAGGAATGTTTCATTTCATGTTGTAAGAACGTTTTTAAAACGTAATATAAAAATCTTTGACATTTGAAAGCTAAACATACCGTTTGAAACATTTTTAAAACGTTTCAAAAATATTTTAGAAAAATATTCCAAAAGAATTTAATCATAAGCTTTTAGAAAACATTTTGAAAATGTTTTTAAAATGTTATAATGAGAAAAGGAAATGTTTTAAAAACATTTTTAAAATGTTTAGTCTGAAATGATTTGAAAAAAAAAAACCTTTTTGTAACACCAATAAAATGTTTTGAAAATGTTTTGTGCGACCTGGGGAACAACATCTAGAGAGTAGCAGGCTTGGAGCCCGTGGATTGGCGGAATCAAAGCATGTAAATATAAGAAATAACTGTCAGATTTTTCAAATTCATGAAGATGATCAATGGATTGGCTTGTGTGATAATTTTATGCATAAACGCCAATCCATTGATCACTTCATGGATTCGAAAAATAAGACAGTTATTCCTTAATTAATACTACATGTATGTATCGGAAGGGCATTACTAGTATTCAAAACACAAGTAAAATGAGGATTGCATGAAAACAATGTGTATTTTCTTTTGAGCATAGGCGTTGGAACCAGGGGGGGGGGTTAGTTTTTCCAAATATATACTTATTGACTTATACACATTGAACATTGTTTCGTAGGTTTAGCCCCCCATTTGCTACAGGCACATCGCTGTATAGGTTAAAAATTGGGAAAGTGGAGGTGTTTGGAAAAAATATTGTTAATAAAGTTCGAACCTAACCACTATCACCCCCCCCCCCCCACACACACACACACACACACGAAATAGGATTTTCCTGACTGGGGCAATTTTCCTTTTTTTTTTGCTTGTCAGGTTTTTTTTTTGCTTGTCAGTTTTTTTTGTTTTTTTTTGGTAAAATATTTTTTATAACTTAGCCCCCCCCCCCCACACTTTCAATTTGCTTCCGACGTCAATGTTCAAGTCTTATTTTCACTACAGCCAGATTTATTTCCGTGAACTCTAACATATTATTACGTAAAACCAT